GTCTTCTCTTATAAAAGAACCCAACAAGTACAAGTAAATGTTTTATTTTCTGGCACTCAAAGAGCAGCCTGAAACACTGATACAAGGCCACGTCACGCTTTGCCTCTCCAAAAGCTGAAATGGACATACATGCAGAAGTTTTAGTAACTTGCAAACATCTACAACAACAGTAGAGGGAGATATTTTATTGAAATTCAACATGAAAATAATCACAGGAAAGCGTTTTAAAGAGATATTTACACATTTATATGTATATACATATTAGCAACCTAGTTTAATTGTTTCTGATTACTAAGGACCTTGAAATGTACTTTATACGTTTTTTGTGGTCACTACCGACTTAAATAAATAAATCTCCCCCTGCTGGTAATGCAACTCCTGCATGCATATTCCTTTCAGTTTGGAGAGGCAAAGCATAAAATGCAAAGAGTGGGCCAGAGTGTCTATTATATGTTTTGCCATGATATCGGGTTGAACTGGTGGTTATTTGCAATACCTTACTGTTGCCTTTCTATCAGCTTAAAGCAGTCTTGGCCATTCTCCTCTCACCTCTGACATGAACAAGGCTGTTTCACCCAGACAACAGCTGCTAACAGGATGTTTTACCTTTTTAAGAAGATCTGTGCACCCCACAAATGGTTGTATTGGGAAATGTCAATAGATCCGCAGTTTCTAAAATAAACAGACCAGAGTTCAGAGTTCTTTGAATCACCTTTCTTCCCCATTCTGATGCTCAGTTTGAACTTCAGCAGGACATCTTGTCTGTGTCTAAATGCACTGATTGGCTGATTAGATACAGTTAAACATCTGCTGTTTAAACTGGCTGGTAAGTGTATGTTACACTCCAACAGAAGTTGTGTACTCCATTAAATGACAAAAAAGTTATTTGAGAAAAAGAAAACAGTGCAGAATGTGTCATCGTATTATCTTGCTCATCAAATGACACAATGACTTTAAAGCACTATTCTTAAGAGTGAGATAATTATTGTACATCTGTTGTGGTAACTGCTTGTTTAAAAAAAAAAAGACTTGCCCATTGGAGACACTAAAGACAGTAAAAGATGTGAAATCAACCTTCCGACTGCAGCTCTCAGGGGACTGTCCATTTAAGCACATGAAAGGGGCTCTTCCAATGGACAGGAAAGAACTGGTTTGTCAAGCTGCAGGATCGAGTGTCTCCTCTGGAGGGGCGTATCACTGTCTCGCTCTAAAATTCATACAGGTCGGAAATCTTAAAAACATTTCAAGTAATCCAAACCTGCCCTCACTGAGCAGGAAGGCTTCCAATGCCACGTTATTCCCTCTTGAAAATAAGCAAATTTTATCTTAAGTTCAACCATCTCAGCACTAAGTGCTAATTAGCCATCTGACTAGCTGTGCTTTCATGTTTCATTTAGTTTCAGTCCTCCAGCTAACTCGCTCTTTTAGCAGTCAAAAAACATGAATCAAAAAAGACCCCATCACACATTTACACTTTATAGCCAGCTAATGAGGAACATCTCAGCACAACCAGTGTTGGTCAAGTTACTTGAAAAAAGTAATCAGTAACTAATTACTGATTACTTCCCCAAAAAAGTAATCCCATTACTTTACTGATTACTTATTTTCAAAAGTAATTAATTACTTAGTTACTTAGTTACTTTTTAAAAACACGATTTACAACCTGAAGAGGTGATAAAGTGATAGATCTTTCAGCCCAATTCTACTTTTTCTACATAATCCATCATACAAAATGTAATCAAATGGAAAAGTCTCTTTTTTAACTTGTTTTATCAGTTTTAATCTTTTAACTTTATGCATCAAGCAAAAATTTAATTATATGCAACATTCTCTGACTTGAATAAATTAGTCTACACATTCCAGCACATAAAATAAAATATTTTTTGTGTTTACACTCACTCTTTCAAATAGATGCAAGTAAAACACAGCAGAAAATAAATAAAGTCAAAGACTCAGCGGTCCTGTTGCTCTATTTTCACCTGTAAAGCAGGACTGCGGTAGACGGAGGTTTACCCTGGTGCAGGTGTGCCACGGGCAGTTGAAGAATCCGCGAGTTTCTCTGTGAGTTTCCCATTACGTCATTGCGCACTCGGTGCTTGCTTGGAAGTTTAGGGGGGGGGTTTTTTGCTGTAAAAAGAAGTTTTCTTCCCACGCACGATGGACACTAATGTTTTTGTCACTTTTTATGGAATCAAACTCAAAGTAAGGTCAGTACTTCCACGCTTTAAACGCTGCACGCTCATACTCTCTCCCACAATCGATATGTGATCCATTGTTGATCTGCACACAGCTGTTGTCACGACCGTCGCACTCGCTTACGTCACTGTCATGAGACATTCTGCAAAAAATCACGGTTTTAGTAACGCAGTAACGCAGCGTTACTACGGGAAAGTAACGGTAATCTAATTACCGTTTTTGCAATAGTAATCCCTTACTTTACTCGTTACTTGAAAAAAGTAATCAGATTACAGTAACGCATTACTGCCCATCTCTGAACACAACACAACGTGTTCTCTACATTACATTAACACAGCTATGGCTGATGCTTGCTTTGTCATCTGGTCCTCACATCTGTCCTGTCTTCCCACTGCTGCATCACTTCTGCATCTGATGTTTCATATCCCACTGTCCACTATGACCAAGCCAGATTTTTGCTTTGAGCTTTGGAGCATTTTTTTCCCAGTTTTCCTCCTGCCCGATTTTGGCCTTTCACAAAAACCTGAATTCTGCTCCCTTTTGCTTTGCTTGTTTGCCTAATTCGTTTTTTAGGAAAACTCTTTTAGATGACTAATAAGTCAAAATTATTTTCTCAAAATTTCGACTTATTAACTCAAAATTTTGAGGAAAAGTAACTTCAAATTTTGAGTTAGCGCTGCCAATCTACGTGAATGACGTCATTTCCTTGTTAACCGGAAGCTGAAGCCCTGAGCTACAAATGCTACAGCTAAGCTACCAGTATTAAATCCAGTCATGAATGCACAGATTGCTGAGTATTTCAGCGTGACTTCAAAAATGATGAAATCCTTGTGTTATTAGCTGAATCTGATGGCGTTATGAGGACGCTATGAGATTATGAGGAAGTAGTAACTAGGGCTGTTCAATATAACGATATATATCGGATGACGATATAAAAACGTCTATCGTTTCCTATTACGCTATCGTTCGTTCCGTGGTGTCGTAAAATAAACTGTTTACGGCAATATTTTTTCATCGTTTTGATGGTCACTGTAGTGGATATATTAATTTCTTAAAGTTCCCTCTTTCTCTAAAGTTACTATCAGCAAACGTACTCGCGAAAGCGCCAATTTGTTGATCGGTTTTGAGTTATTAAATAAAAGAATGTTATACTGGATGCATTGTGATTGACAAAGATTGACGTTTAAAGACAAAGTAAAAGAAAGTAATCCCATATAACTGTATTAAAATGCATTATGCTAAATATAATGTTCTTGTGAGAAGGGGCTAATAAAATGTAATTGAAGAAAGATTCCATAAAGCGAATGAAACATGAAGTAAATGTTCATGTGTAATGGATATGAAGCCCGTTTCCGCCACTAAGTATCCATAACTCGAAATTTCGAGTTTTTTTTTGTTTTTTTTTTTTGAAAGTTTGACTTATTAACTCGACATTTGGAGAAACATAACTCAAAATTTCAAGTTACTTTTCTCAAAATTTCTAGTTATTAATCACACATTTTTAAATTCAGAGATTCTTCTAGTTAGTAGCTGGCTCATGTGTGTCGCTCCCACTCACTCCACCTAAGTTACTACTTTACACCCTCACACACTAATGTTTTAAGTTGGAATCTCAAACAGCTAACAGGTCTTGTCAATTTACACCAAGTGGTGGCTTTGGGAGACAGTGGTAACCAAATCTCACAAAGATATGAGAGCCAAATTGAAATGCCAGTTTGGATTAAATGCACTGCCTTGTATAAAGGGATTGGAAGCCTGCACTAAGCTGTCTAATTGAAAATTTGAATTGAAATTTGTTATTGACTTTTCCAGCTTTATCTGTACAGAACAATGTAATTTACCTTCTAACATCACAACCTCCATGTGAGATAATGTAAAATAATGAGTCTGAACATAACTGTTTCCCAACTAAAGGTTGCAACTAAAGGTAGCATGGAAATCAATCGATCACTTGCCATTTCTTTAAAGAATAGAAGACAAAAGTAGACAAATGATAAACTTTTAATTACAAATTCCTTACTACAGGCACAGAATAGATCTCAGATAAAGTTCAACTCCATTGTTAGTTGTAGGCTTTTCATATGAAAGCCACAAAAGACTATCTTAGTTAATATTACTTCTTGGTAGCATATTGCCACATACCACAATAACATTCACCAGTGGTTCAGCCAAATATGAAGAAGTAGTAACTAGGGCTGTTCAATATAACGATATATATCGCATGACGATATAAAAACGTCTATCGTTTCCTATTACGCTATCGTTTGTTTCGTGGTGTCGTAAAATAAACTGTTTACAACAATATTATTTCATCGTTTTGATGGTCACTGTAGTGGATATAACCATTTCTTAAAGTTCTCTCTTTCTCTTATATTTAATATAACCACACTACGGACGGACAAGACAAGCACCTGTTTTTATGTGTTGTCGTTAGCAACAATGACGGTAAAACCATCGCGTGGCTCCGCTGTCCGCTTGTTTGTTTTCCACACAAACCTTTCACAATAAAGCTCAACATCCTGTTGAGACTTTTCAAAATAAACTGAATCACGGGAAAGAGTCTGCAGATTGTTTATGGATGAGAAGCAAAAAAGAGCCGTCAAGCGCTAAAAAAATAAACCTTAGACTCAAACTATGAAAGAAAATGGTGGCCGTTAAAACTTATGTCTAAAAATGTATAGTTTCATACATCGGTTAAAACACTCGACTCCAGTTGGAAACACTTCATGCAAGGTGAGTTGCCCGAGATTCACAGAATTTACAAAAAATGTTAAATTTTTGTGATTTATATCGTTATCAGGACGATAAATGTCTTATATCGGAATATGAGATTTTGGTCATATCGCACAGCCCTACTAGTAACCACAACAGATCATTGCTCATTCTGGGAAATAAAGCAGCAGCAAACCTGTGGTTCATAAAAACTCCAGATGTTTTATCAGCTTAAACCGAGATTTGACATTAAAGCAGATACCAAACATAATTTTTAACAAGTGAACAGATTTCTTTTAAAGTTACAATGCTTTTTAAATTTTCAAGCATTGTAGTTTAGTAGTATACACACTCTGAGGAATTAGCTAAGACTGGTTTAGTAAATGAACTTAATGCAATCAAATCAAAATTAAATGGAATAAAATGCTCTTAAATGCATATTAAACTTGATTGATCTAACAATAACTATTCAAAGCTCAAAAACACTGCAGTAGAATCATGGCGACTTTATCTCAACCTTGTTATGTTGTAGATAACAAGAAAAATGCAAGTGCTGCTGAGAATTATTAGAAATAAACTGCTTGGAAAAACTAAATTAAAAACCAATTAGCCAAAACATTTAAAAACTAGACTGCTAGTATTCTGAACCTTTTCTGATGGCTCGAATAATGGTCCATTTTAGTTAACAGTTATCACACAGGTGCATCTTTTGAAATTTAAGGCATCACATCTTAGATGAGGCGGTGATGGCTGAGGCTCCAGGACGGCTGTAAACGTGCAAAGTGGCATCCTGAAAAGGGACAGAGTAAAAAAAACAAAACACAAATGAGATCAGATACAAAAAACAAAACAAACAACAACAAAAAAACAACAACAACAGGAGAAGGACAACACATAACAACAATGCTCAGTAACCAGTGTATTTAAGAGCAGACTACAGCAACCTCCCTGAACAGGGTCCAGTATTCATTACGGTGGTAGACATCCAAGAAAGAGACTCCAGTATGAAAAGTTGGACAGCACCAAGCCCTGACACGATTCATGCCTACTGGCTAAAGAAGCCGACTAAATGAGTGTCTAGCAGCACAAATGAACCAGCTACTAGTCAACGAGAGAGACCCAGAATAGCTAACGAAGGCTGGACAGTGATGATCCCCAAGGACCTCCAGAAGGTAACAGTCCCATACAACTACCAACTAATAACCAGGCTCAGCACCACATGGAAGCTCCTGTCCAGCTAACATGAAAAGGCACATGGGTTAGAGTGTCAAGCAAGTCATGAGGAGTCAGCTGAACGTTAAGAACAACACCTATGCCCTGTCCGTGATCAGGTACCCTGCTGGGATAATAAGAGTTAAAGCACTTTATTGTCATTGTAGTTATACAACGAAATTTGTTTGGTGGCTCACAGAGGCCAGCAGCAATAAAACAAGATGAAGAATAGTAACATAATAACCAAGTAAATGTAGTAAAAGTATAAAATATAAAGTAAAAAGAAGACACTTAGCACAGTAAGTAAAAAAGAAAAAAAAATACTAGTAGTTGGCCAAAGGAGGAGATAGAAGCCACTGACATCAAGACCAGGAAGCTCCTGACCATGCATGGAGGGTTTCACCCCAAGTCCAGCACCCTGATACTGTATGCTAAGTGGAGGAAGCTGGGGATTAGTGAATGCCATCACCATAGTTCAGGATGAACACGAGAAGCTCGAGAAATACCAAGGGCTCAGAGAAGAGCTCGAGAAAATGTGATAGGTGAAGATAACAGTGGTCCCAGTGGAAATTGGAGCACATATATACAAACATATACATACATACATACATACCTTCTTGGCCTCTGCATTGTACTTCTTGAGAAGAGTCTCAACTCTGTTTCCATAGTCTGGATGCACAGCCTTCAAATTCTCGACCTGCAAGACACAGAAGAAAAACATTACAGTCCTGGAGGATAGCAGGTTCTTTAAAAAACACATTCTCTCCATCTCCTATAAGCTATGAAGAATAAACATTCAGTAAATGCTATTGTAGCGTTTTAGATTACATTTATCAATAAGCACAACATCTTTCCTGAAACCTCACATTCCAAAAAGCACAAACTATGAGCAACAGCAAAGTGAGAGACTGTAGTGCTTGGACTCACCATGCGTTTCTGGATGAAGAGCTGGGCTCCTTTTAGAAACCCTGCCAAGTTCTGGCAAAGTCTCTGTCGCTCCTCCTCATTCAGGACCTGAGTGTAGAAGGTGCGAACCTGCAAAAAACACACAGGTTTATTCTCCAGTGGAAAAAGGAACTAATCAGAAACAGATTTTGACTCAGAAGCATCAACTTGATTTCAAGTCTTTTAAAAAAAAAAACCAAAAACAAAAAAAAAAAAAAACATCCTATTACACTTTCTGTTTATTACTAGTAAGAATTAGCTTTGACTATAGTTCCTTCCAAGATGAGGCCGAAGAAACCAGAAACCAGAGTGCAGTAACAGGAAGAAAAAGCCACTAAAACTAAATCTACATATTTCCATTACCCTTTAAAAAATGAGCAACAATTTCATCTTATCATTCGATCCACTGTTCATATTAAATACAGATTTATGCAGCTTTTTAATATTATCAAATCTGAAATTGCCTGGGCCTCAGACACTCTGTGTCACACGCCTACAGATCCTGTTAAATCATCATTACCTGTGTGACATTGTCTTCATCTGAGCTGTTGTAACGAGCAACATCTGCAGACACTTGGAACTTGGACTCCATAAACTGAGGCTGAGTCTCTGGGGCACTGAAGCTGTTAGGGTAGTAGTTTGGAGCGCCACCTGGTGGTCAAACAAAAACACTGGTGAGGCAGTGAAGGAAAGAAAGAAAAAAATGAACAAAGACCAGATGTTTGTGGAAAACCATAATCAGTGACTATAGTGATGACATACGTTATTCACACATCTATCACTGTACAATGCATGAAATGTAGCGATAAAATTAATGTTTAATCGCTAGTTTTTACATTTTGTGCACAATGTAGATGACTGTGGTTATGCATGTAATGCCCATGTTATACAATTATTTCTAATTATTTTATATAATACGGGTGTTTTTGGATCACTAAGATTTTTTCAAACACCATCACTGATCGTCTGCTTCAAAGGTGATATGCACTTGTGTATATGTCACGTGTATAATAACAGTTAAAAATAACAGTTAAGAACTCAGTATAAATAAACTGTAACACTACCTGGATTAAAATTCCAGGATTACTCAAGATTCATTTCTGAGCCACAGGTACCAGACCTGATCACGTCTCACCTTGGTTGTCATGCATGCACATCGGACCATCACGCTGGTAGTTGGCCACACGAGCCCTGAAGGGGCAGTTGACAGGGATCTGCAGGTAGTTTGCTCCCAGCCGGTGACGATGCGTGTCTGGGTAGGAGAAGAGGCGACCCTAGACAAAGAACATGGAGGACAGAGCTCAATACCAACCTAGCTTTTCTTCATTCCCCCCAGCTTGTCAAATCTGCCATAATGTCACCTGCAGCATCTTGTCAGGGCTGGGCTCGATGCCTGGTGGCATGTTGCTTGGGTCAAAGGCCGCCTGCTCCACCTCTGCAAAGTAGTTGACTGGGTTCCTGTTCAGAACCAGTTTGCCCACAGGGATCAGTGGGTATTCTTTATGTGACCAAACCTGCACCGCGAATAAAATTTACAAATCACAAAAGTCATCTGTGATTTTCAAATGAGCACGTCATTATTTAGAGACAACCTGTGATAATATGGACGTTTTTGGAAAACAAGTTACCGAGTCACTGCACATTTATGTCACGTATTACTTTATAACTCGGATGTTTTCTGTTGTGCAGAACTGCGGTACCTTTGTAAGATCAAACGGGTTGAACCGGAACTTCTCAGCCTGCTCAAAGGTCATGACCTGGATGTAAAAGGTCCAGGATGGGTAGTTTCCATTAGCAATAGCATTGAACAGGTCTGCAATTCCATAATCTGGGTTGGTGGCTGCCAGGCGGTCTGCCTCTTCCACCGTCAAATTCTTTATTCCTTGATCCGTCTAAAAAATTTATTTTAAAAAAAATGAAGTCAGAGATGGCAGAACACACAACATAACAGCTACCGTAATAAAGCTGATCTCAGGCAGACCTTATAGTGGAATTTGCAGTAGACACGTTCACCATCAGCATTGACCAGTTTGAAGGTGTGAGAGCCGTAGCCATTCATGTGACGGTGGCCATCAGGCAAACCTCGATCGCTGAACAAGAAAGACACCTGCACAGGAGACAAGACGAGACCATGAAAACAACTACAAGAGTTTCTGTCAATAATGACTACAAGTATAAAGACAGCGAGCAACAGTGCACAGAAAGACTTACTTACTTGAAAATATTCTTTATCCTAAATGTGTATTTTAGAAACACCTCAGCTGACATGACATAATACACTAGACTTTTCAGTATCAGGCTCAGCAGCATCTACCTGATGCAGACTCTCGGGCCTCAAACTCCAGAAGTCCCACACCATGTCAGGGTCTTTCATGTGGGTTTGGGGATTGCGCTTCTGGGAATGGACGAAGGATGGGAACTGCACGAGATTAAAGATGGGACATTAATATAAGACAATGTACACTTGACTGATATTAGCACAGGTGTTGTGAGGAATGTGTCTCTGGTCTTAAATATCTTACATTAGGAATAACAAGCTTGGCTTTTATAAACTTTGAGTTAAACTAAGAGTGTAAACACCCCATGTTAGATATTTACTGTAATGTAAAAACAAAGAAAACAAGATACAAAACTGAAAAATCATCCACTTATGAAACTAGATCTACAATCTGTTCCTGGAAGAATTATTTACATGTTAAAAAATAAATAAATTAAAAAAAATAAAGTACTGCTGTAACACTACAACTCTCTGACACAAAATTATAAAAATCTGAACCATTACGGTCTGCCCAGACACATGCGTCCTACACCCACTCACCAGCATGGCATCCCTGATGAAGAAAATTGGGGTATTGTTGCCCGTCAGGTCCCAGTTGCCATCTTCAGTGTAAAACTTGACGGCAAAACCTCGAGGGTCACGCACAGTGTCTGCAGACCCAGACTCTCCAGCTGGGATATTAAAAAACAAACAAACAAACCATAAGACAGCAACTCCTCAAAAATCAATGACGTAATATGGTTGACTATTTTAAACTAAATTTGGAGCCAGTGTGTACCATCTGCACCTTACAGCCAGTAGCATTGTTGAAAGTTACCTTTAATGTCCCTTCTGGTGTCACACAAATCAAGATGGTAAGTACACCACTTACCATCACATCGCCAGCTTCTTACAATGAACACTCCTTTAACAAATAACCACTTTTACTCACACTTTGCATTTAAAAGTTTGTTTTGCAACTCATACCAAAAACCTTTTCAGCAGTAAATTATTATCATCATCTTCTATTGTTGCATTTTTCTGAAACATTCAATATAATGTTTTAATTGTCCATATTATTTTCCTCTGAAAGCATTTCATAACTGTCTTCAGCAGACATGAACATGTTGTGAGAAGATTAAGGGCTCATATAATCCAGGAGTATATTTATAAACATACCTGTTTCATATTTAAACTGTCCTGACAGTTTAAATATAAGTATAGTCAAAGTTCTGAGGCAAACTCCATCCCATGCACAATTCTGAATAATATATATTGTTTTTTTAATTGAAATATAAAATATGCTGAAAGCAGATGCAGGACTGTGAAGAAGTGGTGTACATTTGTGATGTAGCAAATCCTCGGTGATCCCCAGGCCACAAAAACATGGAAAGCAACACAATATTTAGGCCACTATGTCAGAGCTCTGTGGATATGGAACATTTTTCCCCATTAAGAATCGCCTGAAAGCCACTGATGGTCCTTAGTTACATCAATTTAAGCTGCTAGCTAAAACCCCAGCACTGTCCGAAGCTGAGCTGTCCCTCTCCTGCTACCTGCAAACATCAATGAGTCATACGAGTGTAAGGACCTAGAGTGCAGTCCAGTGGTGCTACTATAGATTTCAATAGCAAGTCCAAACTATCACATAAAAAACAGGGAAGAATGAACACCCCCCCCCCCCCCCCCCCACTAAGCAAATCTGTAACCAAAGC